GGCTCCCTCTGGCTCTGGGGGAGGCAGAGATGGAGTCAGGGTGACAGCAGCAGACAGGACAAGGTGACCACAGGGCTGAGAACCAGGGATGAGGATGACCGCTCCTGGGAGGAGAAAGTGTGTAAGCAGAGGCTGGAGGTGCGGAAGACACACCGGGGACTGAACCCAGGACCTCGCCCTGAGCTACCTCTCCAGCCCTTTTTGTTTTTATTTTCAGGCAGTGTCTGACTAAATTGTCCAGGCTGATCACAAATTTTCAACCCTCCTGCCTCAGCCTCCCGAGTAACTGGGATTACAGGAGCATAGCACCACCCTTAGCTCACACACACTGCAGGGAAGCTGAGGCACATGGTGAAAAACCAACAGTTGTTCAAAACAGACAGGTTAAAGCCACAGGGTACACTGGGCCTCTGCTTTAAACGTCAGTGACTGTATGGCCACGTCAGCACTCTCTCTGTCCTCCCTTTACTGTCCAGTCAGGTCACCAGGGTGTGACATGGGGGTGGGTACTGTCCAGGCTCGGGCGGAGGCTATGTGCAGGCTGCACGGGTGGAGCAGCTGGGCTGAGGGTCACCCCAATTCCACCATCCCTGCACCCTGCAGCTGTGTGCACAGGGGCTCCCGGGTCACAGCCTTGCCCCCAACACAGCTGTGCTCTCCCCTGCTTCCAGAAGCCGCCATCCACCTCCCAACAGCAGCTCCGTCAGAAGCAAGGGCACTTTCCACCGCAGTAGTACGCAGCTCCAGGAGTGTCTCAAACGCGGGATCCTCGGGATCCGGGATCCGCCACTGGGACCCCAGGGGGCCAGCTCTGCCCTCGGAGACCCTTCCGCTCACCCCCAGCCGCAGGCCCAATGCCAGCTCCACCTCTCAACTTGCAGCCAACTTCCTGCTCCTGGTGACTCATCTTACCCCGCCCTGACCTCCCTCTGCTCCTATTTTACCACCACCACAGCAAAGCCAAGGTCAGGAGGAAAGGGGCAGGCCTTTCCCAGAACCCCACTGCTGCCTCAGACCACTTACTCCCACCATCCTCCTCCAAAACCATCCCCTCTCGGGACTCCGGCTGCACTCCTCACATTAAATGAGATAACATGTGCCGGGCGGACTGTGCGCCTCACTGTGGAGCGCGATACATCCTCCCTGGTCCCGCGGCCAGAAATCACCCAGGTTCCTGAGGCTCTCAAGTGCCACGCTGTCTTCTTCTCCACCTCCTGTCTCCACATGCGCGTGGTAGCCTCACGGTGCATCCATCAAACATCCCAGCTCCTCGGCTGGCTGAACTGAGGCGACTTCCAGCCCTACCCGTGCCGCAAAAGCATCACTAGAAATCTTCCCCAGGAAATCCCAGCCGCCAGTCCTCTCACCAACGCTGCACCTGCTCCTCCAAGTCCTCATCTCTAGATGTTTCCCTTTTTGCTGTTATCACTTCCAACTACTTGTCAGCATCTTTCAACACCAGGCTGAGCTCTCCAACAGCCTCGTCTGGAGAGTTCCAACTGTCTGTTTCACTTTTGCTCCTGAAAGGAGATGCTGAGAGAGGAAAGACACACGTGGCACATACTCATGCCTTTAAAATGGATGCTTCGGGGCTGGGGATTTAGCTCAGCGGCAAAAGCGCTTGCCTGGCAAGCGCAAGGTCGTGAGTTCGGTTCCCGGTACCGGAGAAAAAACAAAAACAAAAAAAAAAACAAAAACAATAAAATGGATGCTTCTCGGCGGCTTGGGTGTCTCAGGGACCCACAGTTAGCCTGGTCAGCTCCTTCTGCAATCCCCTCAATAACTATTAACCAGCGTGGTGACACACACCTATAGTCCCAGCTCTCTGGGAGAATGACGCAGGAGGACACAAGTTTGATCCCAGTGTAGGCAACTCAGTGACTTAGCAAGACCTTATCTCCAAAGGGGAAGGGGGCTGGGGGCTGGGGATGTACCTCAGTGCAAACAAAGGCCTTGGGTATAATACCCAAAACCAAAAAATGTACTAACTTTTACTCTCCTCAAAACCCCTACTACCTCCTCCAGAGTCTACATAGTAAAGGTCTGCAAATTCCAGCCTTCAGGCCAAATGCAGCCCTCTGCTGTTTTTTTGTGGCCTGCCTGTGATATAAGTTTTGTAGCTTTAAAGGACTGAAAAAAAAAAAAAAATCAAGAAAATTTTATGACCCTGTGAAAATTACACGAAATTCAAATTTGGGTGCCCCTAAGTTTTACAGGAACACCCATTTACATATTACCTGTGGTTGCTCCCATGCTACCAAAGGCAGGGGTAAGTAGATGTGCCAAAGACTGCATGAGCCACAAAGCCGAAAATATTTACCCACACAGGTTCATGAGTGTGCACCATCTGTATACTTATATGGGCCTCTCGTCTCCTCTCCTGGCATGTAAGCTCTTCTACAGTGGAGACCTGGTCCTTTTTTTTTTTAATCCTTCAATTTCTACCACATGGCCAGGTACCTGGTACTAAGAGGATTAAATATTTAATTGATTTAATAATGACTGTGCAATGTGAGCTGGGCTTTCAATGAAGGGCAGGGCTGAGATAAGAAGTGGAGGCTGGCTTTCCAAGCATGGCCAAGGGAACCAACCAGGTGACCTCCGTGCGGCAGAGAAACCAAGGCCACAGGCACCCGTGGAATAATCCAAGCCCGCTGCTGGGGTCACCGTCCGTCCCCGGTGCCAGGTCTCTAAAGCTGGTCTTCACTCATCCAGACTTTTAAACTGTAACACAAGCTTGCATTAGTGCTCCTAAACCTGTGTGCTTTAATTTCAAAATCTTTTCCTGGATGCTGATTTCCTGGTCTACTTTTTCCTTCCCCCCTTTTCTACAGATGCTAAATTGAGAAAGGAAAAAAAATTGGAACCCAAAGAATCCCACCTTAAGATGGAATTGATGCCTCACACACAAACACAAATTTTGGGGGTGCTGTTAGGCAGAGATCCTTGACATCCAAAATTGCCACCAACAAATTGGGAGTCCCTTTAAACCTGGACACACTCTCTTTTTCACCTTTCCTAGTTCCCAATATACACCTATGCACCACATAAGTGAACGAGGTCAACAGGACAGAATCTCGGCTGGTAGCTGAGGTGATTTTGTAAACTTGGAAGGCTGGGGTCAGTTTGAAGGCTGATCATGTCACATTCCATGACCCTAACAGAGTAGACAAGGCATAAGAAGACGGTTAGGGACAAATTTCATCCTCAGAAAGAGGGACAGGAAAGTTCCTGCCTAATTCATCCTGGATAAGTGAGGCTTTGTATCCAACTAGCCCTGGGAACTCCGTGTCTGCTCAGTGGATCCAAATGCTGTTTTCAGCGAACTTCTCTATGTGGTACCTCTGTATCAAATTGCTACGCCCCCTCTGTCTCTAATTAAAGGTGACTTTACATCCAACACTATTAGGAGCTTGCCAGGCTAGCAGAAGCCCCTGGAAACACAAAACACACTCTTCTTCACTGTAGACCTGATCACACACAGGCATCCCGACCTCAGGCTGCCCAGAAGTTACCAGAACAGATTATGGAAAGGCTCAGAGGAAAGGAAATAAGTTCTCTCCTCACCACCTGGGGTGCTCAAAAGATATTTCAGTTCTTTCAGGTAATAAGTGACCTGACCCGGAAGTTAAAATGCCTTAGCATCTGATACCTCTCCAGAATTCCTGAATTATTGGATTTTGAAACTGATGAGAAGACAGTGGTCAGCTCCCTGGCACGGGGTGGGTGGCGCAGTAAACAGGAGCTGAACAGGCCAAGCGCTGGGACGCACTTCCTCATTGCTGGAAAGATCTGAGAGGAAAGGGTGGCAGGTGTGCTCCTGATAGAAGGCCAGGAAAAAGGGGCAGTGAGAAGAACGGGAAATAAACCAGGCTGGAACTCAGCGGGAGACAGAAGCTCCTGCACAGTGGGTCCTGCCCAGCTCTGTGTCCACCCCGTGCACACCTGATCCGGCCTGAGCCATGAAAACAAAGTGAGCCAGCCTCAGGCTCTGGAAGATTTCTTACTGGACTGCTGCTGCCACTTGGAATCCCTGCTTGTTTTGTTTCGCCTTTTTGATACTAGTGATTGAGCCCAAGGCCTTTAGTACTGAGCTACATTTGTCATTTTCAAGCAGGTTTCACTAAGTTTTCCAGGCTGGACTTGAACTCTGAACCCTCCAGCCTCAGCCTCCCAGAGTGCTGGGAATACAGGTGTTTGCCAGCACCCCAGGCTGCCGCGCGTAATTACAGTGGTAGAATTCCTGTACCGTGGAAATGACTCCTCCGGGCTACCCCTGGCCACTAAGCTGCCCGGCTCCTAAGCCTCAAACCTCAAGGCTTGTCTTCAAGAATAAGACTGAAGAAACCAGGCCCCCACAAAACCACAGGGCCCGGCGTGTGGCTTCTCCCTTTCTGAGGGCCATCGAAAGTGGTTACAAAATAACTGTCATCCCAACTGGACCTGCCTCACATCTGAGGTCTAAAACCCCGGTGTCCCCTTCAAACAGCTCTGGATGACAGTCAACACGTTAATCCGGTTTACGTTTAAAGTGGGATCACTCAAATTAAAAGCAACCACGCCTCCCGTGATGGAAGAAATACTGAGTTCATTTAACAGACTACTTCAGGATTTGATTATAAATCAAAACTACTTTTTAAAACATTCAGGCAGCAGAGCGTGGTGCGCAGGGATGTAGCCCCAGCGCTGTGGGAGGCTGAGGCAGGAAGATCGAAGGCTCATACCCACTCGGGACAACTTGGCAAAGCCCTGTCTCAAAATTACAAAGTAAAAGGGGAGAGGAGGTGGCTCAGAGAAGGCCCTGTGTTCAAGGGCGGAAAAAAGTTCAAGAGAGCTTGCCGCAGAGTGTCCGAGGACTTCTTACACTTACAGACGGAAGAACCTAACGCGTTCACTTACGCACAGCCCGCGTTCGCGGCCGGGACCCAGGCGAGGAGCAGGGCCGGAGGGGGTGACACCCCACCCACGCGCCCTCACCCCCGGCAGGCAATCGCGGTTACCTGGTCCAGCGGGATGCGCAGCAGCTCGCTGAGCGGCAGGAGGCAGGTGGAGCCCGTGGTGCGGTGGGACAGGCC